ACTGATGTCATGTCACATGCTCAGTTGGCCATTATTGGTCGATATTCTGATAGTCACACAATGAGAGAAGAGTTGATAAAGTTAGTATCAGTTCCAACAAGTACATCAGGAAGCGAAATATGTAAGGTTGTTATGCAAACATTCTGCGACCTAAGCATTGATATCTCTAAAGTTGTGTCAGTGACGACAGATGGTGCCCCAAACATGGTGGGGAAAAAAGTTGGATTTGTGAAATTGTTTACAGAAGCTATTGGACATCCGATTGTGCCTTTTCATTGTATTATCCATCAGGAGGCTTTATGTGCCAAGGCAGGATTCACTGACTTAAATGACTTAATGTCAGTTGTTACAAAAATAGTTAATTTAATAGCTGCTCGCCCCCTTCACAAGCGAGAATTTTCAGCACTTTTACTGGAGGTTGATTCCACCTACAGTGGACTGCTGATGTACAATAATGTAAGATGGCTGAGCCGAGGCAAGGTTCTTGAGCGCTTTGTGGAGTGCTTTGAAGAAATTAAGGTATTTCTTGAAGATAAGGATCTGGGAAACTTTCCTCAGCTCAATGATGATAAGTGGGTCAACACCCTGATGTTTTTTACAGATCTCTCTGTACATGTTAATGAACTGAACTTAAAGTTACAAGGTTTTGGCAAAAGTATTGATGTTATGTTTGGATACATAAAAGCTTTTGAAAGTAAAGTAAAAATTTTCAAGCGAGATGTAGAAACTAAAACGTATAAGTATTTTCCTCGAGTACAAAAGCATTTTGAGAAGGCCAGTGCAGCTGTACGAAATGAAGTGGAACTCTTGCATATGAAGTGCCAGCATGTTTTAGACTCGTTACTTGACCAGTTTACTGATAGATTTAGTCAATTTAGAAGCCTAGAACAGACCATGAGAATAATTAAATATCCTGATGTAGTAGTCTACAATAGTTTGGAATTAAATGGTTTCCAATGGACGCAAATATATGATTTGGAGATGCAGCTTGCAGAATTTCAAGACAACATCTGGGCTCAGGTGTTTGTCGACTTGAGGTCAAAGCTTGAGAATCTGGAAAGGGGCCGCTTGGAGAATCAAGATGAGTGCCACTACGAACAGGAAATTTGGAGTGCCTGGAACAGACTACCAGACACTTTTAGCACCCTGAAAAATATAGCAACAGCTTTACTCACAATTTTTCCTTCTACGTACTTTTGTGAGACCTTATTCTCAGCATTAAATAATATCAAAACCAACAAAAGAAACAGATTGACAGATGAGGTTAGTAGCGCTTGCTTGGGCCTGAAGTGTACAAAATACCAACCTTCAATTGAAGATTTAGCCAATGAAATTCAGCAACAAAAAAGTCACTAATATGCAGGTTAGTTAAAGAATTTGCCCTCCCCCTCACTTATCTCAGTTCACGGCACCCCAAACAAGTTCAATAATATCAAGGGCAACATACGAAATCGACAGATTGATGAACAAAGAAGTTACTAAGCAGGTATGTTAAATAATTTGTTTTTGGTTTATTAAATACAATTATATATTGCAATTATACATTTTTGTAGTTTAAACTATAAATTGCGCAAAATTGTGTTTTTTTGTCGAAGTGACACACCACGCGAGTTATGCTCGATTTTTTGCCGAATTTTGACACACCACGCCGAAAAGGTTGCCCATCACTGGCTTAGAGAGTGCTTGCACTTAAAGCGATATATAAGTCTCATAAAATAATAATAATAATAATAATAATAATAATAATAATAATAATAATAATAAATAATGTTTCATTGGCTATATAAAGGCTTTTGATTGTTGTTGATCGTGTGAAGCTATGGAATGGGTTTAAAAACATGGGAAATCCAGAATAACCCCACTGTCCTCATGAGAAACCCTTACACGAGCCAGGAAATGACAAGATGAAACAGACTGGCTCCATGTCAGCAAAGAAGTAAGACAAGCCTGTATCTTCTCTCCTTATTTATTCCACTTATAAGTTATAAATTGGATATATATTAAAAAAAGCTGGACTGAAAGAAAATGTATCTTTAAAACTGGAGGAAGAAGTTAAATTATAAAATACCTATTTGGGGGATTCCTGGACAAGCAATTCAGGGGGTTTCTAAGGGGGTGAATTTTGATAATATTTCTTATAAAGAATTACTTATTTGGTCGGGTACTGATTGGCAACTAAAGTCTGATTGGCAACTTCTCGCACAAAAAAAAAGATCTCGCAAAGTTGGAATTGATTGATTTAACTTTTTAGTCCCACCCAGTCTGCCGTTACCACTGAAGCCACGCCCACCCAATTGGCCACACCCACCCAATGGGTCATGCCCACCCAGCACCTGACAATACATAAGTGAGTTTTGGGTTGCAGTTTGGGCACCAAGTCTCTAAAAGATTTGCCATCATTGCTCTATATGGAAGATATTTTCCTGTGCTATTTTTTAAAATTTAGCTAAAGTCCTTACATAAAAAAGAAAGAAAAAAATGCATAATCTCTTACAAAAAAATTGTACATCTCAATGTATTCGATCTAACAAAGTTTTGCAAAAAAATATGTTAAAATCTTTTGCTTGATTTCTACAAAACACAGAATACCATATCATTTTTTATTTTTTTTACTGATGCAAATCTCTGGAGCTATACAACACATTGCTGAAATGTATATACATGCACAACAACCAATACATAAATGCTTCACCATATTAGTGTTGAATGCTATTTCAACAAATAGAAATGACTTTTGAAGCAGTAATTAATTACAAGTCCTATTGATTATATCTTTGTTTTGTGTTTGGGCTTAGCAAAGGTCAGAAGTGCCTAACCAAAAATATTACATATTGAACCAAAGATGTATAAAACAAGTGGTTCAATATTTTGTATCATAAGATTCTCCAGAGTATTATTTGCCCTACAAAAATGAATACAAACTATAAATAATATAACTCATCCATGAATTATTAATTTGTTACATACACATCATTCCCAGCTGCACAATTTAGATAAGCATTTTTTTTCCACTTAACTGTAAATACTTTAAGAAACAGAACTGTTCACATATTTTCTTTGGAAATGGACTTGGTTGAAATTTAAGACAAAACTAATTTTTCTTAGTCTCAGGACTTAAAGAGCACTTACTTTTTCTGAAGTAATTTTACAAAGCTAGTCTGTACATATCAGTTACAGTTTTTCTAGATGCTGGTCTAGTATCAGATATCACTTAAAACTGTGCTTTATGCTAGAGCCAGAATTTATGATCCAAAACATGGCTTGAATTACCAACACTCTAGCAAATAATGGCTGAAAGAATTCTATCTAGTTTGTTGGTTATCTGAATGTACAATATCCATATTCAACCCCCCTATAACCATAAACCACATGTATCTATGGGGCAGAGAGTGGTATAGCCTACAAGGATTGGCAGCAATCCTGAACTTGTTATTTCTTGTATTGCATATTAGCTTGTTCCTTGTGCATGGAATTTTCTTTCTGGATTTCTAGTTATTTCACTTTAACAAAATGTTGCTATGGTTTTTTTTAATGTCCTATTTTCTGGCTTCCTTATTCATCTTTCATCTCCTTTGCCTTCTATCTTCTGACCAGTTAAGTTTCTCTTTCCCTTCCTACTCCTTTCTCTCATATATAACGTATCACTGAGATAATGACCTTTGCAAACAAGGTATTTTTTATTATAGTACTCTGCACACATTAGGCACTTCCATCAATATACAAATATGACGATTAGTCACTACAATGGAACGGTCAACTAGTAGAAAGCAGATAAAATTCCTATACCAGTGATGGTGAACCTTTTAGAGATCGAGTGCCCCAAACTGGCCCTGCCCGTATTCTACCCCCTGCCCCGCCCCTGCCCCGCCCCCACTCCACCTGCCTGCAGGGCCACTCACCGCCTCCAGGGCCTGCCGCAATCGCCCAGCAGCGCCATGGCAGCCACGCCTTCTGCCTGTGCCCCGCAGCATCAACTGTGCGCGATGGGGCGTGAGGGCAGACTCTTGTCTACACTGCCTGGCTGCCATGTCCTTGGCTGCGCTGCTCTGCATGGGCCATGCTCGGGGGTGACTCTCCTCCAGGGGGACTGCTGGTGAGGGAGTCGCGGGGGGGGCAAGGTTTGGGCAACGGCATGTGTGCCTACAGAGAGGGCTCCGAGTGCCGCTCTGGCGCCTGTGCCATAGGTTCGCCACCACTGTCCTATACCATATCAAACTAGGATGACTAACCTATATTCCACAGGCCATATACGGCTTCCAGTTCCCAATTTGCACCCTCCCATCGTGCTGCCCCAGATTATAGCAATATGTACAATTGTTCTCACCACAAACTATTATAGCACTTATCACTAAATAAAATGTTAAAATGGAGGAACTACATCAACAAATTTGGCTTTGCACGTCGCATGTAACCATAGCTTTGCCTACAGCTTTTGGACATCACACTAATGTAAAAATACTGCAACTCTCAAATCAAAAGTTTACAGTACTTGTCCTCAATGCTATAATTTGCTTTATTTGATTTAATTTGCTTGTGGCAGGGTGTTTATTTTTTTTATTATTGAACGTATGTATACCTCACTTTTCTGCTTATATAAGCAGTCTAGATGCCTTACAATCTCAATTCAGACCCGATGGTTTCTAAGCCACAATGTTCATTATACTGAATGAACTTTACCAACTGTGGCTTATTCAACAAACCTCAGTTATTGAGCACACCATGACCAACCATGGCTAAACACAATATGTGAGCCAAGTAAAAGTGAAAGACAGAAAATAGAAAGTTACAAGTGCATTTATTGAGGGAGGAATAATGCAGAGCCAAAATCATAAAATCCAGAAAACCCTAGCAAGAGTCATCATTTGATCACAAACATTTCACAAACACTGAAGAAACTGCATAGCAACCGAAGAAATTGAATCAGCAGTCTATTTCTATTACAGATTCAAATATATTTTTATTAAAAATTTTGCAGAATAAGTGAAATATCATTATGTTACCTTAAATTTGTCAAGTTCTGCCTTTGAACATGTTGCATGATAAGACAGCACCTGATCCAGAACAAATGGGGGGGGGGAGAGAGAAATGGTTACAGGTGAGAAGCTAAATTAGTCTTCTTAAGTCATCAAGGAAGTGAATATTACAATGGTTTATTAGTATCTCTGCAATATATATTATCCATGAAACTACTTACCCTGGTGGGCCCAATTTTAAAGAAAACTAGAATGCCCATGATTCTACTTCTAGATTAATACAGCTACTCATCTATGCCTACTTCGAGTTTTTAAGTGTTTTCAGCATAATTTGCAAGGCAAATTAATAAATAAGTCATTTAAATTATTTTTGATCCTGGCAATAGTACCAACCACCATTGTACAGAGATATAATTGCCCGGGAAAAAGTATCTTGAAAAACTGAGGGGTTGCCGAGAGGCACCAAACATTTTGTTTTTTTTGTTTTTTGTTTTTTTTTACAAATCTTAAAAATGTTTCCTAATAGTTTGTTTTTAAAAGTTGAATTAAATGATTGAGTTACGTACAGAAACTACTCATACCAAATTAAGAAATTAGATAACAGTCTAAAAGAGTTTTTTTAAAAAACTCTAAAATCTGTCTCACTTTGCAGGAATAAAACTGTAATAATGAGCCGATCATTTAGACATTTTTTACAATGTTTCTTCTGTTTCTTCAGTCTTTTTTTTTTTAACAAAAAGATTGTTTTTTTCACTTGTTTAATAGAGAGGAAGTCAAAGTTCAGTATATATAACTTTTTTTGTTTTCTTTTGTTTCTATTTTCAATATTAATTTCTTTCCAGTCTGCAATTCCTGTTCATTTTCTATATGCTATCACACTGCAACAATTCAATACTTGTATATGTATTGGCATTGTTGCCTTCTTACCAACCCCTTTCCAATTATATATATAGCATCCTTCGAATCAGTCTCATAAAAAGTTAAAAAAAAAAAAGCAGCCTGATTTTCAATAATACTTACATCAAGAGCCACAGATTGCTTTGCCCAGGACTTCTTCACTTGATCATACATTATAGTATTATTGATGCCCAAGCCACAAAATATAACAAAAGCCTAAAAAAAAAAAGAAATCTAACTTTAATATAGGTGATTTCAAAATCTAATAATACTGAATGGAATAAAGAAAGCAATGTTCTGGTTCCTAAGGCGTGCATGAAATAGAAAACCCATATTGTGTGTGACTGAGAACAAAACAGTCCGATTTAAAATGCTACTGTGTTACAACTCAAGGAAACATGGAAACAATTAAGTTCTTCCTTCTCAGGACTGTATGAATACACAGAGTGGCAGTCTATGCAGATTTTGGCGTGTCAGTTTGCAGAAAGATTAGTTTTAATTTTTTTAAAACCCCCAAAATGAGAAAGAAATTTGAAATTTCCTATACAAGTTTCAGAGATTCTTGTCCAGGGGGCAAGGGGGAGTGCTGACTTTTTCCCTATTTATTGTGAGTTTTCTTGTAGATAGTCAGCAACACGTACACCCGACATCACAATTCTTATTTTTCATTTTCAAGATGAGGTTTTATCTTTTTGGGCAGCCTTGCAATAGCTGGCTTATGAACATATGAATGAAGAAATAAATATGCTTCTCTATACTGGAATGAGAGAGAGAGAGAGAGAGAGAGAGAGAGAGAGAGGGAGGGAGGGAGGGAGGGAGGGAGGGAGGGAGGGAAGGAAGGAAGGAAGGAAGGAAGGAAGGAAGGAAGGAAGGAAGGAAGGAAGGAAGGAAGGAAGGAAGGAAGGAAGGAAGGAAGGATGGATTGCAGGGAAGAAATTTTACAAGGAAAATACAAAATTGCTTCCCTAGACACTGGTGCTTAAGTGTATCTTCTAAAACCTCAGCTTCTCAGAAAAAGAACAAGAATGAGTCATGCATGTATGCTTGATTGGGGGAAAAAAACCTCCTCTTTTTACTCCAAATGCCAAAGAAACAAATACTGGACATCGCAACACCTTTTTATAGCAAAATACATCATAGCCTGCATCACTATTGCACAGAAACATGAACAGAGTTCAAGCCCTCAGCAAAACTCAACAATTAGCTGAAACCAACCAGTACAGACTTTTTATATGAGTTTGTGCCCTACAAGCTCAATAAATTATGATTGGTTGCATAGCCAGACATATGTTTAGACTGGATTTGGCCTCTTTATCCACCTATTGAGTCCTTCCCAAGAACCTAAGATAGGCAGATATTGTTTAATAATATTAAAGCTATAATTATTACATTATACGTGTTTCATATGCAAACATAATTATTTATTTTTAAGCCAAAATGGAAGAGCAAAGTTTGGTGTGTTTTCAGAATAGCAGATTCAACCTTCCACTTCAGTTTTACTATTTTATTGTCTCATTATCACTCAAACAAATGCCGAAGCACTACAGCAACACAGGTTCTAAAGATAACTGCCACCACTAATATACAGTTAGTCCTCAAATTGCAACAACAGTTCATTTAGTGACTGTTCAAAGTTACAACTGACCATTCTTCATACTTACGACTGTGGTAGCATCCCCATGGTCACATGATTTACAATCGGATGCTTGGCAGCTGACTCACATTTATGACGGTTGCAGTGTCCCAGAGTCATGTGATCGCCTTTTGCGACCTTCTGACAAGCAAAGTCAATGGGGGAAGCCAGATTCACTTAACAACCATGTTACTAGTTTAACAAATGCAGTGATTCACTCAACAAATGTGGCAAGGAAAGTTGTAAAATGGGGCAAAGCTCACTTAACAAAACATAAATTTGGGGCTCAGTTGTGGTCATAAGTTGAAATTGTACTGAAATCAAATAATCCAAGAAGATTCTATTAGATTTTTTTATTTGCCACACGTGTTACAGGAAGTCATGTATAGAAATATATATGCTGCAGTGAATATTATGTAATTAAACTGCATCAATTTGACATGTCTTACCTCAAAGAGTCGCTGATCAGCATCATCAAAAGGTTTTCCATCAAGTCTATTCAGCACCTGAGCAACCCCTTTACAAGGAATTAGCAAGCATAGTTAATTTTATATTTTAAAGGAAACTGTGTATTCACAATGATAAAACGTATACGTAAATAAATTAATGAAGGAGATATGCCACAAAACAAGAACTCAAAATTCAAAAACCATAAAGCATAATACTTGCATTATAAATTATAAATGCTATTATATCAACAGCCTCTGATACTGGATTACTAATATATTCATCAAGGCTTGAATTCAGCTGAATGAAACAACTCAAAATAGTAGCTTCCCCCCCCCCTTCCATACTGGCTGAATTAGATTTAGCTCTGAGTGTCAAACTTCATGTCAACTTATTGTACAAATATTCTTTGTGTATCGCATTTTTTAACATAACAAATTCCATGAGACAATAAATTATAATTAAATTTGGAAGCGGAGCGATCTGTTGCTTGCCAAACTTCTTCCTAATCCTCTTTTAGATATTGCTGGATCAGTAGTTAAAACGTCAGAAATAGGGTTTTGTTTATTTTTTCAAGCAGAATTTTATTTATTTTTAGTATATTACTACCATTAATAATTAATAAATTAATTACTAAAACAGCCAATAGTAAAGTTTCGTTACAGTTCTAGATAGTTTTCTAGATTGTTTTACCATTTTATATGGACATATACAATATCAATATAAATTTAATTTGCAAATGTACAAAATAACAGTTTCTTATTATTACAGTACTACTGCAGTAATTGATAGTGAACTATATCATATCAACACATTAACACATGTTTTATATTTAAAAAGTATTTTTAGTATCTTACCAATTATTTGGTGACTGTTATTCCATATAGGTACGCAGAGTACAGATCTTATATGAAAACCAGACATCTGATCAATCTAGATAAAAAAAATCATCAACTATCATAACATATGATTTAGTCTTAATCCAAAAGGTATTTAGGACCACAATTGGGAACACAACTTCTATCACTAAGTGAGAAGAGTTACAGCTGATTTACAAACTTTTTGCCGCAGTCATTAAGCGAATCATGCAGTCATTAAGCAAATCCAACTTTCCCCATTGACTTTGCTTGTTGGAAGCTGCCTGGGAAGGTCACAAATGAAGATCATGTGACCCTAGGTCATTATACCATCATAAATACACACTGGTTGCCAAATGCCGAATTTTGATCACGTTACAACTAGGTGCTGTGACAGTTGTAAATGTGAGGATCACTTTTAAGTCATTCTTTCAGCACTGTCGTAACTTTGAACAGTTGCTAAATAAATGGTCATAAGTTGAGGACTACCTGTACCATCATTCCATTGCATATTTGAAAAAAAAAGTGCTAATTTGAAATAATAACACAATTACTTGGCAAAATGATATGTATCTATGCATCTTAATTGAACACATCTCAGTTGTACTAAAAAACTTTCTTCCTGAACTTTGGTGATCCTTTTTTAAAATCTGTTTTGTATTTTAATAGTCTTTGCTGCTTTTCATCATTTTAAGCAAAAATTTATGGTATATGGCAATGGTGGCGAACCTATGGCACGCGTGCCAGAGGCAGCACTCGGAGCCCTCTCTGTGGGCATGCGCACCATTGCCCCAGCCCCGCTTCCCCCCACAGCCCCCTCACCAGCAGCTCCCCCCAGAGGAGAATCTCCCCCAGGCACGGCCCGTGTGGAGCAGCACAGCCAAGGACATGGCAGCCGGGCAGCAGGGACAAGACTCCGCCCTTGTGCCCCATCGCGTGCAGATGATGCTGTGGGGTGCGGGTGGAAGGCATGGCGGCCATGGCATTGCAAGGTCTCCTGGGCGATCTGCTGCAGAGGGCCAAGGAGGCAGTGAGTGGCCCTGCAGGTTGGCGGGGCAGAGGCAGAGCGTGAGCGGGCTGGGGCGGTTTTTGGGCACTCGGTCTCTAAAAGGTTCGCCATCACTGGTATATGGAGTTCAACCTGTGATTTTTGCTGTGCTGTAAATTAAGTAGTTGCTGGACCCATTACTAAACTATAAATAAGTTTCCAAAAAGTTAAAGGAACTTCAGAACTAAACTATATAATAAATTTGCTTACAATTCAAGAAGTGCAGGAAAGGAACAGAAACAAAATCTGATGGCAAATTTCAGTTCTTAGCTTTCTTTTATACTAATCAGATGTTATTTTAATAATAAAGAATTTTTGTCTTCAATAATCATTGTTCCTGAAAAATTGACTTTGGAGATTAACTATTAAAGAGCAACACAATAGCATGAAGAATTAATTATGGCTTTTTCTGCCTCATAAAAAACAATATTCTTTCTCCAAATAAGTTGACAGCATTTTTATTAATGCACTCTTTAAGGGTATGTAAAACAAAAATTAATCAGCTGCATTACATATTAATCAAAAGAAAATATGTGAAACTGTAATTCTACATTCAGTAAGAATATTATATGCTTTATTCCAGCCCGCCTTTTGGCAGGAAATATTGCCTAGGCATTAATGTCACCTTCTCAACAACTGAATTTATTACCTCCAGCAGTTCTTCTCTATAAAATGGTTCTGAGCACTTATTTCAAATATAATAAAAAAATCTATTATGAAGACTTTTAGAGACGTTCCTTGATAGACTTCCTATAAACAGAAGACTTTGTAAAAATGTCACTTTGCTCTTTTAGCTTTGTAGGGATTGAACTGCTGTAAATTCTCACCTAATTCTGCACCAGGCTCTCACCCACAAAGACATTCAAACTAAACTATTTTAGGGCTCTTTGAATAAAGTAAAGGAATTAAAAATGCTATAATTGTAGGAAATTTTGACACTTGCAGCATCTACTGTCAATTGTGAGTTGGTATTTCCAAAAAATACTGAAGGCTAAGAAACTGTGCAATGGAGCAAAATCTTAACAGACTGATTTGAATTGACCAGGCAATTATTTCAATGCAAAGATCCAACCCTTATTTTAAGAATGGCTAAATCAAATGGAGAAAAGATGCATTCAGAACACAAATCTTCAAAAGAATTGGGGATGGGTGGGAGGTCAAGAGGCAATCATGACCATGCAATTGAAGCCCCATCCCATGTACTGTATATCTGTGGACGTTCAATACATGTGCAGAAGGACTGTGGATTCAAATATGTGGTCACCAGCACCATCTTGACTTTTTTTTTTAAACACACCATGAGGATGTATCTTTAAATCTTGTAATTTCTTCCAGGTCTGTGATCAAATCACAAAAGGTATTCAGCTGCCATTACATTAAAAAGCTATTGGGGTACTTATATAGGTCAAAAATGTCTTACTTCTGCATCAAAGCGAGGATCCTGATAGGCATCACTGTTGTTCACTGGAAGGCCGGTGGAAGCTACAAGTTCAGCAATGCTGTTATTCACTAGCCAGTCTGAATAAGATGCTGATGGTTTCTCCAAATTGTCTTTGAAACTATTAAAAAGAACAAGGGAAGAAAGAATGTAATCACTATTGGTTGAAGACCGACTTTAATATATATATATATAGAAACCATGATCTTGTTTCAGAGTAACATTTAAAATTTCAGAGCAGCTTAATTGAATTTTGATAATAAAAAATGGGCAGATAATTTGTACTTATTTGCTCTCAATATTTATATCTATACACAACTGGGGAAAATTGTTAGAGTGACACAGAACAATGATTTACATTTTCCTTTAGTTATGCCTTTTACTCTATTTTGTAACACATTGTCTTATTATTATTCTATATGGCCTATTGGCTAATCAATAAATAATAACAGCCACCACCATCACCTAGTTCAGGGGTAGGCAACCTTGGCTCTTTTATGACTCGTGGACTTCAACTCCCAGAATTCCTGAGCCAGCATGGCTCAGCTTGGAAACATCTTCCTTTCCCCTCAGCATGGCTGGCTCAGGAATTCTGGGAGTTGAAGTCCACGAGTTATAAAAGAGCCAAGGTTGCCTACCCCTGACCTAGTTTCTTCTAAAGAACTCAGTGCATATAAGGGCCAACACCAGTTAAAGAACCAGCAACTACGACTTGACATTGTTGTGAACAAATAAATAATAAGTGTGGGATTTCCAAATATAGGAATGAAGGCGAATACATATGTCCCAGGATAATGTTGCAGGATCCAATATGAGTTGGTCACCAGGATCAGAAGTTTAGTCTTCTGAGCTTTCAGATTCATGCTAGAGCCCATCCTCAGGGAATTTCTCTCTAGGAGAGTGTGTGCTTGGGCTATTCTGGGTGTATTTATATGGTGCCTGTTGTGTATGAGTCTTTAAATGTTGATTGATGTATTGATGGCTATAAAGTTATTGGTTGTTATTTCCTTGTGCTGCCAAGCCCTCCTAAATACTTGATAAGCTGGTGGTAAATTAGCACTCCTGTTGACTTGACGAGGGGCCCATTTCCCAGGCTTCAATCACTTCCCTTGGCTGTTTTTGTGGCTGCTCATCCAACAATCTTTGAAGCTGCAAAACTGAAGGCATGCCCTTGTTCACTGCAATGTGAGAGATCAGATACAATATTCTGGCTCTATTACTCATTCCCTCAGATCAGTCACATATCTCAAGCTTGAGGTAAAATTCTTAAATCCTGGGCTATGTTTGAAGATTTCTTTCATCTCTCGCACACATTTCTATTTCTCTTAAATGCATAGTTTTCTAGAGTCCTCAGGCATCTGTTTTCTGCCTGCCACTTATTCCAACTTGCAGCTCATATTTCTCCCAGACGAGGCCAGAAGTAAACCTTTGAATGACTTAGGAGAAACATTTGTATTTGGTAAACACATCTCCCCAGCAATGTAGATTAGTCACCATCAAAGGAAGAAACTGTCCATTCCAAAAGCAATCTGTTTTTTGTTGGGTGGGGGAAGGCTCTTACAATTTGTTTTTGCTTCTCTTTAATCCTTTATTTCTCTTTTTTGCTATTATTTACCTTGGCTAAATATAATGGCATCAGGGGTGTCCTTAGTACTGACTCAAATATGTTATATCCTGATAATTTGATTTCTTGGAACTAGCTAATAAAGGTTTACTGTATTTTATTTCCCCCTTATTCTTGATTTCTTTAAATTGTTTTCTGTCTTGGTATCACCTTTTTATTTATCTCATTGAAAAACACTACTGATCTCATAGTTCCACAGAGGCAAAGATTGTTGTTAGAACACACATATATTTATTCTAATGTTAGTTTACTTTTCTGTCATATTCTCATCTTGTTTATTCATTGTTTTATTACAAAATATTAACGCAGAACTGATTGATGAAGGGTCTTTTTTCTCTTCCCTACCCTCCTTGGAATTATAGTAAAACTAATATTCTTTTTATAATCCTTCATTTTTTTATTTAAACTGATTGTAGCTCTAGAACTTACTAACAAAAGGAATTTATCTCCATATTTATCATGTTGCACTAGTGAGATTTTTACAAAGTGCAGCATATGTTGAATTGAAAGGTAGGATTACAGGCAAGAGCGAGCTAGGACCTGTTTTTCAGGCCTTGTTTGATAATGAAATTTATGGAAGTCAACCATACAGCTGTATTTCACAGCAGTAAGATTTGACTGACAGACCAGAAGGACCAAATCCAAATCGAGGTCAATTCCCAGCCAGACTTACTGGATCTGAGATGCTTTCTTTATGGAATTTGGCTTTTCATTTAAATATACAATGCCCCATCAATAAACTCCAGATCATAGTCTAAATTGTATCCTTTGCTTTTCAAATAAAGAACTCAGAAATCTGTACCTGAATAAAATATTACTGAAAACAAAACCTAGTTTCAAAAATAACATAAAAGATGCATCTACAGTTTTCTCTAGCCACTTCTTTCTATCCTGAAACCTTCCTTCCTTCCCTCACAATGTGTAAATAAAAGAAAGAATAACTAGGGGCAAAATATATTACGTTCTGTTCTTCCATTTTCAGGACCCTGAAAAAAAGGACTCTAAATCTGTTTTTTTCAACAACTTTCTTTTCATGATTGATTGCTCTACATAACACACTCAAGGATTACTGCATATTACTAAAGATATATAGAAATAACACGAATGTCAAATGTTTCCAATGCAAATTATTCAAGAAAGATTACAATAACCAAATCTAGAAGACATCAGAATCCCTAATAAGTTTAGCTATAACAGAATTGGAATCTCCATTGGGGAAAAAAATTAAGGCAAACAGAAAGAGACGCATGGGGGAAAAAAGGTGATTAGGGCAAAAATTACACGGTCAAGGCAAATTTTTCAGATTCAACACTACTTTGCAGTGTTCTATGTTACAGTGAATAGCAGCCCAACGTTCTTAGCTTGTGTTCCAAGAACAGTATCTATATCAAATTTATTTCTGGACTGTTATTTCTACGTAAAAGTTAGAACCAAATGTACATGCTAAATATTCTTAGGAATTATATACCGTAAGTCAAGCTACATACTACAACAATTTCCCAAATTTCAATGAACCCCTAGATCTGTACCTTTTGTTTTATGATAAACATATCTTCATTTCTCCTCACTGCTCTCTTTGTAATATGTTGTATATGAGATACAGAGACCTTACATAAACCTGGCCAAATAAGTATTAAAAATATTTCAAGTATTAAAAATCTGGCTTTATTTTTTTAAAGAGGTGATTTAATTAGTACTCATCTTGTCATTAAGGTACTCCACTATTTAAGCTGGCGGGTGGCAGGAGAGAAGAAACAGCCCAAAATTTTAAACTACCATGATAATGTTTGCACAGCTAAATAATATTTTCATTGCTAAAAATGAAGTAGAAATAACCCAAAGCGCATGGAAGTTGGCTGGAAGGAAGAAGATTGTATAGCTCTTCAATAATCACATCAATCAACCTATTGATACGATGAAAGCATCTTCAATTTGTTGAAGCTAAGTAACATGGATGTGATTAATAAACTAGATGAAGTCCATATGGAATGCCCTTGACAGAAGGAGACTTAATCAAATCTTTTAGATAGCTAATTATGCTAAAATAACATTTTATGTAATCATGTCACAGTTGTGCAACTGTTTCCCACATAACAGAAATTCAACCAATTATACCATCTGAAGAATAATAATATTTTCTCTTCTACAACATATTGAGCTCAAGTGCATTAAAAATATATGATGCTCTTACAACAGTAGAACAAAAGGAAAGAAATTATGATAGCTGGGTGTTAACAAATGAAAAATTGTGCAAATAATTAAACAAATAAAAAGGATCTCTTATCTAGATTTCTAGAATGAAGTTGAATTTGAAAGAGCTTTTCACAGACAGAATTTTGTCCTATAATCTAGGTTTATTCCGAAAAAGAAGATTAATTATAAAAGAATAAAAACTAACCTATTTTCTGTATCAGCTATGCACTTTGGAGACATCAATTCAAAGGACTTGGTAAATTTTACCTCCTGTTAAGATAAAAAAAATGTGCAAATGTCATACATTGACAATTTATTATATAACATTAGAAAAATACACAATCACATTATAACAAATAAACATGTGCCCTATTTATACTTAAATCATAAAGCATATTCTTTTAATCCTATTTACATAACATAATCCTTATCTACTGTGAAATTATTACTAATCTGGCCTAGAAACCAGGAGGTAATCTAATCCTGCCTCTTGCAAAAAAGTCAGGTAGGTGACTTTGAATCAGTCACTCTCTCGCAGCCCAACCCACTTCAGGAATAGTATGTACTGTATATCTGCCACCTTGAGTTACTTATAAAGTAATAAAGGTGGGATAAAAATGTAATGAACAGAACAGAATAGAATAATTATTCCAAAGTATGATTTCAAGATAATCAAGTCTGTCTTGAGTATTGTTTTTGTTACTTGAGTACCTTCATATAATGTGAAGTGAAATATTTTATAGTACTTTCCTATTAAAAAGCATTTTAAAATATTCTTTCTGTATCTTTTTACACTTATCTTTTTCTTCAGTTTAGCACTTAAAAGAGCATATATAAAATTCCCAGACAGCATCTTATTCTGTCAATCACACCAAGATCTAAAGTTAGCTTAACTTCAACTTACTCTACATTGTGCTTTCTAACCATTCTCAATAACAACTTATGACCTTAATAGGGAAATTCCTTACAATCACTGACACAATATATGTTCAATACCCTAGCTCTTATTGTAAGTATCCACAGTGGAAAGTAAGTGATAAAAGATTTTGACATCCTAATACAGTCCCCATGATTTACATGACGTTATCAGATATCAGGAAACAGGGTTAAAAAGCAGGATTTTTGTTATGTATTGCACACATATAATCATTCCTTTATCACCATGGTTGCTGCAGATATCCAGTGCTTTTTTTGTAAAAAAAAAAAAAAAGGTGCCAGAACTCACACGTCATACAACCCGCCTTGCCTACCCTACAAGGTTCCATCCAAAAAAAGGTGCCGAAACTCCATTCTGGGCGTTCTATGACAAAAAAAGCCCTGCAGATACCTATGGCTTTTATAGCAGTACTTTATAAGGGACTGTGATATGTTAATTGAAGTTTGGAGTACTGAGTGGACATTTAAGGCTACTTGGGACTGCCTTGAAGAACAGTCAGAAGCTTTAAGCAGCCAAGGAAGCACAATTATGGGCATGTCTCAATATGTCTATGTGACACCCCTGCTTCGCAAGCTGCATTGGTTGCTAGTTTGCTTCTGGGTGCAATCAAAATGCCAGTTATGACCTTAAATAATAATAAACTTTATTGTCATTGTATGTGTATACACAGTATACACATACAATGAAATTTACGTGACACCCAAAGACCAGGTCCCACACACATAATCCCCAAACACACTCCCACCCACCACAATTCCCCAACCCTAAAACCACCCAAACATCCATCCAACAGATCAAGTAATACTGTCCAACAGTTCACTGATGGTGGCCCTTTAGTTCATCATTAAGTGCAATTATAGTTCTGGGATAAAAACTATTCAGAAAACGTGTGGTCCGAGTTTTAAGTGTTCTATATCTTCTGCAAGAAGGCAACAGTCCAAAGAGATTGTAAGCAGGATGGGAAGAGTCTCTGAGAATGTTATGCAACTTCCTCAAACAGCGACCTTACACTGCATAGGGCCTATGCAGGGGTCCCCAACCTTTCTGGATTGGCAGCCCGGTGGGAAAGGGAGGGATAGGCACCTTTATGCACACATGTGCACACACACAAATGTGACTGCATGCGAGTGCACGTGAATGGAGCTGCAAGCATGCGCGCTCCGCAAATGGGACTGCTAGCCCCGGCTAGCCCCAGCACAAGGTTCGCAGCTCGACTAGCACTGGCGCAAGGAGGGGTGAGCACGCACGCACTGGCCAGGCACTCATGCGGCGTGGTGGCCAAGAGGCAACAGCCTGGTAGTGAGCTACGGTCCATAGTTTGGGGATCTCTGGTCTAACGGGTTGAATAATTAGCTATAATGCCTTCAAAAATATTTTTTAAAAGATAGGCTTCAATAAATACCACCAAGTATATGATAAGAAGCTAATCTTTTTCTCTACTTTAACATTATAGAAGGGCTGGAAATGTACATTCAGTCCTCTCTTGGACTTATCATTTTCCCAGATTTAAAGGTAAGTGGAGGAAAGAATAAAGATTGGTTGGTGGGCTAAGTAAAAACACTCCCAAAACCTAAACTGTATAATAGAAAATGAGCAACGCTTCATTCCACTTCTACTTCTGCTGAATATTTAGTTTGTTTGTTTATCATATTTCTTAACAACCCATCTCCCTTTTTCCTATGAAGTAGGAATGTTACTGTATAAAGAACAATTGTGTTCAAGAGTCTACACTCCCATTCCACTCAGGCTTTTCTCTCAGCAATACCAGGTACCTTGAGCATCCAATTGTTCATGATTGTTCCACCGTACTAGCTTTGCAGCTATCGGTTTCAGCTTAATCAATCAAAAACTTAGTACTGTACAAATTTTAAACTTTCTACTAAGTATATGCTGAATAAATACATGCAAACATCATGACACTTATATAAAATACACTTTCCAAAGTGTGAAATATCTACTTACTGGTGATTCAATGTCGTCAAGAAGCAATACCAAGCAACGCTCACATTTGAGTAGAGTCTGGGCTCGATGCATAATTTTTTTCACAATTTTCTCCAGATCTGTCTGTTCTTCAAAGAGATCATTAACCACCTCCAGCAAGGCCTTCATACATGGGATGGAAATCAATCACAATTGGTTTCCAAAAGTAATGAATAAATGATTGTGTAATATTTTTTTAAAAAAAAGAGCTATGAAAAGAACCAGTTACTAACACTCTGGAATACTGGCTACTTGTAAATTAAACTTAGATGCACAGCCATTCCATATGTACCAGGACATGTACATATGGAATGTTCTCAGTTTAGTTTCCCTGTAAGAGGCTTGAATACATTTCAACTATTGATTAAACTATTTCTGACTAGGGAATGTTCTAGAGCAGGGGTGTCAAACTGCTGGCCCACCCTAGCTCCAGCAATGCGAAAAAAGTCACGATACATCGCAACATGTCATGTGACGGGATGAGTTTGACACCTGTGTTCTAGGGAATATTAGCTTTCTGTAAGAACTAGCAAAATAATAATAAAAACAATAATCTGGTTCCAAGTAAATACGCTAAGTATAATCAAGTAAGTTTGATCTAAACCTATGCAACCTTATGCTGAATATGAAATCATTTTTTTTTCTTTCATGGCAATTTGAAAGTAAAGGTGCAAAGCATTAATTAATCTCAGAGCTACTTAGCTTCAGATTGTAATGTCTAATTTAGGGGTTTCATAAGGCAAATTATAACGTAACAGATTAATTCTCAGTGGCAGTCTACTAAATTTTTGAGATAAATTAGATATTAAGTGATCTTGAAAAGTATTAGTAAAGAACAAGAAAAAAGCCCAGAATAGCTTTTTCTGCATGTTTCAAAGTAATTATGTGAAAAAAAGAAAAAAGAAACTTTTTTTCAAACAGAATTATAGCCTTGATAATTATGGTAGTGAAGCTGAATAGATTTCAGGCAAACCAATACCATGCATTTGACATAGGATTTATTTCAGTTAAGAGTGCTGTAGAAAACAAGGAGTAAGCAAACATGACACAATCCAGTGTGAACACAAAACAGCATACTGATACTGATTTCTACTCTTATTCATACTGCACTAATTATGGCAGAAGTGGGCAATCACCAGTTGAAGAACTGCGAAGATTTTTTTACAGAAAGATGCTAAAATTGCTAGGAGTGGCAGAGGAAAATTCTCTAATCCTGGTTTTTTTTTTCGCTTTGGGGGTACTTTCAAGGATAGGATTGGGCCCAGAACTGCCGACTACTATATGAAAGGGAAAAATTGGTGAACTAATATAAATGCAAGAGACTGGGCAGATGGATAAACTTTTAGGATTCATGTTCTGCACAAAAATACATTTGGAGGGATTAAGGGCTGCAAAAAGGATGAGATATTTATTTATTTATTTATGAGACTTATATACCTCTTTAAGTGCAAGCACTCTCTAAGCGGTGTACACCAGTAAGCAATGTATATATATATATATTTACATTGCCCCCAACAATCTGGGTCCTCATTTTACCTACCCCGGAAGGATGGAAGGCTGAGTCAACCTTGAGCCGGTGAGATTTGAACCGCTGACCTGCTGAACACAGTCAGCTAAAGTGGCCTGCAGTACTGCACTCTAACTGCTGCGCCACCTCGGCTCATTGTCATATGTCATACAAGTGGACAAAGAAAATTTCTGGATGTTCCTTTTTAAAAATTTGTGATTTCATTATTACATAGGAGATATACAATTTTCAAAATGGTATGTCCAAGGAAAATAAAAGCCTATCCTTCCTCATGTTTTCCTAATGCATAGAAAAAAAAGTCAACACAGGGATAACTTTCTACCATGTTCATTTAGTTATGATTTTATGATCACACAGGACAACTTGTAGGTTGAAGAAGAAATAAATTAAATTCTAGGTATTAGGAGCATGAACTTTTTGCAAACTAGGTATTTAAAAAATGCATTTTAATACCTAGTAGATTTAGTATCATATAGACTCTTGTGTTTTAAAGTCCACTACTTAAAAGACAAAATGTTATTCTCAGTAGTCAGTTTTGGTTCAGTGGACTCTGTTTCACAAAAATATATGTCAGTGATATATCAACATAACTACTTTTTAAAAGCTGTTTCCACAGAGTAAGATATTGTTCTTTTATTTCTCTAGGGAAGTGTTTTTTAAAGTGTGGTACTAGGAGGTCCCTCAACACTCTCTAAGCAAAATAAAATCAAAATCAATTATTTGCTACCCTATGTTAAAAAAATAATACCATATTAAAATCCCACCAAAAGATCATGAGATATTTAATATGGTAAATATGGCAAAAATATAACCCATACAAACAAGAGATTTTTGGGGGGGGGGTCCCCCAAAATTTGTAAAAGTTGGAAAGGGCCCTAAGAGAGAACAAAACATTGCTCCAAGGCAAGTGTAATTCAAGATTTATATATTTATTTATTATTTCATTTATACACTACCAGACTGCTAGATTTGAGCATGGACAAAGTGATAAGAAAAAAACATGTAAAAAATTCCTGACTGCACTAGGAAAATGTAACCCGAGGCATAATATGTATTTCTGAACTACATCTCCAAGTGTTCATTACTACTTCCTAGAGTTGAGCAATATCTAGAATGCCAAAAGTTACATTATGGGTTCTTTCAGAGTATATAGAGACTTGTTATAGGCATTCATTTCCAAAGAGCCTTCTTTAGAATCATCTTTACAGCCTTCTAAAAAATGGTACTTGGTTTAATATTAAAATTTCTAGGATAGATTTACACTAAAAAATATGCAAGGCCAAGTTTTGGTACATTTGTGTCCTAGAACAGAGGTCCCCAACCCCTGGGCCAGAGCCCACCACAAGGCTTTGGCCTATTCGGAATTGGGCAATGCAATGGTGGGAGCACGCATACATGTAACTCAACTTGTCTAAGATTACTATTGTGTAATTTTTTCCTTTTTTTATTTTTATTTTTTGGAAACAAACACAAAGCAAGCAGCAGTGGGGGAAAAAATGAAGGATTAAACAAGATAAACATGACTATGTCTGAATCCACATAAATTTCCCAAATGAGGCATAGCAAAACAAATGCATGAGGAAAGCTTACTTTAGAAGGCTCCCCCCCCCCAATCTTATTCTCCCTGCTTCCCACTGTGCTCACAAATATCACCCATCTGGTAAAGAGACAGGAAAATCAAGGAAGCTGAAATGTCAAGAAAATAAGACCAAAAATTTTCTTTCTGCTTTAGCCAATTTCTTAACAGCAACACACTCTGGACAGAGTGTATATTGTATTCTCTTAGGTTATGCACTATAAAATCTTGATAAAATGTTATCAGTTGTTATTTAGTTTAAAAGTGTTGGCACAATAGAAATAGAAATTGCTGTAAATATTAGCAAATAAAAATATAAGGAAGCTACACACATCATTTGGGTGTAAGGAGAAGAACGAGAAAATAGGAAGCAGATATTCTACAGACCTATTCATATTTATAAACAAGCAAATTCCACTATTCAGCACAGTTTATTCCCAAGAAAATGTGTACGAAGATGCTAACTCATTACTGATGCAGTCACGTATATTTTCAGGATCATGCGGCTGTAGCAGAAATCTCTCTGCAGCAACTACACAATCTTAAAAAATAATGTGGCTGTTTTAATAAGCTGAACAGAGTGCTACAGTTTTGTTCCTGTATGTTTCAAAGCACATTTTTCCCAACTGAATTTAAAGAACTGCACACACCACTTCATTGGATAAAAATAAATATAGCAGTATTAAAATATAAATATAAATACAAATTAGGAATAATATCAATTATGTTCATTTTTGTTGAAACTATAAAGTGCAAATAGTTATGCAAATCATGTCTTGATCTTTTATCATATGGTAAAACAGATGGCATATGAAATAATATTAATGATGATTATTCTTGTTGTTATTCTGACTTACTCTGCTTCTATCGTACTCCTTCCGGGAAGCAGCAAACAATTGAGCATTGGATATGGCAATACCACAGAAGGGAAGGTACATTTCCATTACCTAGCACACAGAAAAAGACAAGGCCGTCAAACGTTTTTTTCTGAAATTACATGTGTATCCACAATCTCATTTTCACAAAAGATATATCAGAATAACAACCAGGGTCTGGCATCAAACTTATTTACAGCTTTCTGCAGAGTGAAAATTAGAATTCCGGATAAAAGAATCCCCCCCCCCCACTCACTGCTATAAACCATGGAAGGAGAATCAGGCCCAGCTCTTTCTATACACAGTTTTGTAGACTGCAATTCAACTCTGCAGATGTTTTCTATAGGATGTTTCTTAATTATGCCAATGATTCACCAGGACAAGATTGTAATGGTAAGAATTTTCCTCCTAAAATGCATAATTGTAGGCTAGGCCTCCCAGATCTCAGGAAAAAGGAGGAAAAAAACCTCTGGCAAGAGAGCCAGTTTGTGTAATGTTTAAGGTCCTGGCCTAGAAACAGGAGACAGTGAACTCTATCCCATCAGATTATTGTTGTAGGGGAAATAAGAGGAGGAAGAAATACAAGGTATGATTTCTTCCTTGGTTTATATATTGTAATAAAAAGGCAGGTTAAAACATTATGATAATAACAATAACCCCCAGTGAAGCACTACCTTGACGTGGTTGTGGGCCTTGCATGTTCTGAAGAAGATGAGAACCATCATGGTTCAACCATCATGGACAGGTCACACCAGAGGAGCCAGACAAAGAGTGTCTCTCCCATAAACAATATGGTGAGACATAACCTACAGAAATTTCTACCAGACAAGTCATGGGTCCACAAGAGCCATGCTAGGTGTAGGAGTTCCTAGACATCTGGTGACAAGTGGGCTACAAGACTCGTGAGTATTAGCTGAGCAACCAGGGCTAGCAACTGTAGGACTACTGGAAAAAAGTTGCTTATTCACCACAATTATACAATGACTGAAAACAAAAAAAAAATATGATTTGCTATTATAAATCAAGTCCAATGAGAAGTTGATATCTGGAAAGTTCTTGAAAGAATAACATTCAGATTCTGAAGTAACACAACAGATCTACATCAGCTTATTCCATGAAATAGAATTCACAGAAGTAGAACTGGAAGTACATCTACCCAGGACAAAGAAATTGAAACTTTGCAAGAAGTAGCTTAGATAGTAGAGACAACTAAGGGGGAATAAGTAGTAGAGGAAGCCAGCATCACTAGTGAACTGTTCTCATTCCCAAACCTGGCACCTTCTCCTTTACCTTCTCAAAAAGAACAAAGTACTTGAAAAAAACAGAGGATCTTAAATGGAGAATACCTGAGTTTTTAGAGCAGCACAAAATCAACAGAATATGGTTACCTGAATTGAATCTGGTTACAAAGAAACCAAACCCCAAATACAGTAGTATTAAAAGATGCCAATATTGTAATATCAATACAAGCATCAATTTACTGGAATAAACAAACCAAGGGATATAGAGCACTGCTGCAGTTATAACTGAAGATCTTGGATGCAAAATCAACAAATAAGGAAAAAAGGCAAACAGTGAATCACCAAAATAGAAGATCAGGTTAGAAAATAAGATCAGTATGCTAAGATTGGATGCAAGCAAGCTAGAACACATGGGGGGGGGGGGGAAGAGAAGCTGAAGAATAAGGAGATCAAAGAACACCTGATCAATAAATATCAATACATAAATTTAATATAAAATAAAATAAATCCTTCAGACTGACAACATCAAGGACATTGAAGTCAAGAAAAAAGTACTGAATATATCATTAGAGTGAAGAAGATCTTAAAGTCCAATCTCAGTGCAGGAAATTCCATCAAGACAATTAAGATATATACAGCTAGCATAGTGGACTGGACTCAAACTGATCTAGCAGCTCTGGAGAGAAAGACCAGACAAATAATCACAATGAACCATGCCCCTCATCCATGCAGTGACGCTGGCAAAGTCTATTTACTGAGAATAAGTGGGAATGCAATTTTGCAAGTACACCAGACAAATGAAGAAGAAAGGGGGCATTGAAATAAAATCTGAAGGACAATGATGCACTGAAGCTAGTACACAGGAAGGCTTAGTGTATACCAAAGAGATCAAACTGGCCTATAAGAAAGACCAAATGAAGAATAGAAAAAAGACATGGCAAGGCAAAGTATTATAAGGCTAGTATATTGAAAAAAAAACCCAATAGGCAAAGAAAACCACAAGACTTGGCAATGGTTAAGAGCAGGAAACTTGAAGAAAGAGACAGAAGGGCTAATTCTGGCTGCAAAGTTTAAGGCTTAAAGCAAATGCATATAAAGCCAGAATAGAGAGGGCAGCAACAGAGAGCAAATGCTGTCTCTTCAGAGAAGCTGAAGAAACAGTAGAACGCCCAGTTAGCTGTTGCAAGAATATTGTACAGACTGATTACAAACAACAGCATGTCAAAGTACCAACAATGGAGCATTGGAATATTTGCAAGAAATGTTACTTGCCTGCAAGCAAGAAATACCATTTGCCTACAAGCAAGAACTGGTGGAACCACGAAATAGACAAGCTAATAAAGAATAAAAAAAACCCAATGGGCTCGGGGACTTTAGAATTCAGACAGAGAGCACCTGCCACATAACACTCCAGACTTAACAATTGTTGATAAGAAAGATAAAAATCTTTGGATAGTGAATATTGCTATACTTGGATATAGCAGAATAAAAGAGGAAGAACTAGAGAAAATCACACGATACGAAGATCTGCAAACAGAATTATTGTGGCAAAAGAAGGCAAAAATAGTACCAATTGTGATAGGTGCATTGGGTGCAATCCTAAAACACCATGAGCACAACTTACATTATTTCCATTGACAAAATCACCATCAGTCAGTTGCAAAAGGCAACTTTACTTGAAACAGCTTATATCCTGCAACGATATCTTTATTATTAAATAACATCTGTCTATCCCACCAGGTCCTTGAGAAGGACTCAGTAGGTAGACAAAAAATGCCAGATCCAGTCTAAACATTTGGTTGACTATGCAACCAATTATATATTTTTAAATAAGATGTTAGGCCACTGTGCTCCAAAACAACACCTCAAAAAGTAACTAATCCAAGAGAAGGCCCCTTGGCCAGCTTTCTCCTATATCAGTGGTTCTCAACCTTTTTAATGCTGCGACCCCCAACCGGTCGTAAGTCGAAGACTACTCAACCGGTCGTAAGTCGAGGACTACTCAACTGGTGCAGCACTGTTTGCAGAATGGGACTTTTGGTGGGCTCAGCAGGGCAGAGACAGCCTGGACAATTCCTATTGGCTTTTGAAAGCCAATATAATTAGACTCTATTCAAGAGAGTCTATTCTATTGGCTTTCAAAAGCCAATAGAATAAAAGGGAGTAGCACAGCTAAGGAAAAGGGGGAAAAAATGGCAGACTGTGTTGTTTGGCGACCCCCATGAAATGGTCGTTCGACCCCAAATGGGGTCCTGACCCACAGGTTGAGAACCACTGTCCTATATTGATTTTTTAAAAAGTTTAAAAAAAAACCTCATTCTGAGTGCAAAGCAAGTCAGAATGGATTTTTTTTTATTAATAAACACCAGTAAAGCAGAGCAAAACAGAACTTGTTCAGCAGAAAACTGAGATGTATACTAAACACATACTATTCTAAAGAAAAGAAATAATATTTAAACGGGAATTTTTTTTAATGCTACCTGAGATGTTTTTGATTAAGGTGCTACTGTGTGTATCAAATAAATACAATTTTCTATGTAAATACTATAGGATGCAAATCACATATGTGCTTATGTGGGAACAAGTCACATCAGAATCCGAATCAAAGGAGCTTATTTCTGATGTATAGGATTACATTGCTTATTTTCAGTCTTTAGGTGAAGTTTCCCAGAAGGTTAATACAAACTGCCATATAGAAACTGCATAACATATAAGATATGCATAGTTGTAAATTTTATTAGCAATGCCATTAGGTCACAATTTTAATAGTTTTGTATCAAAAATGTTTACCTTATGGATACTAGCATGAAAAAAGTCCCAGCTTGTTCGAATGATAGTCAACAGGATTGCACTGATTGCTTTTGATGATTGAAGCTTTGCAAAATAACTGAACATTGCAGTTTTAGCTTAAGTTTCTTCATGCACTGCCATTGCCAATGTAGTGGAGCTTATTAGAAAAAAATGTGCAGCAAAATAATTTCATTTTTTATATCTACATCAAAGTTAGCATAGTCCCCTCCCTGAAAAAAAATCTGCAAATAAATCAGTAGCTGCTCAATGGACACATAATATATTAAACACTATACTTTGATACAGTTTGCCAAAGAAAACTCACAACAGGTAATAGAACTTGACCAACTTTATCTGGGCTCAGAAACTAAGCAATACTGGGTCCAGTTAATGCTTGGACAGGAGACCTGCAACGAATACTAATGCTGTGTGCTAGATTAGGAAACAACAACAACAAAAACAATAATAATAATCAAGAAAAAAGAGATAGCAAATCACTTCTATATTTCTTAAAAGAAAACTACTTGTACAGCATATCTGTGAAGTCACCAAGAGTAGAGCTTGACTTGAAAGAGATTCAACTCTTCTTTCCCTCGTAAGTGTTGAAAAACATTTTCAATAGATGTAAATTAATGTACAGAAATTGTTAATGTTTGTTAGGTAACTTCTAATTGTTTTCTTTATATGATTTCCTATAAATAATTCAGTACAGAATTAATGTATGCAAGTACAGTTCAGCAGCAAATATAGGAAGCTCAGAAGCACACTTTAATATAAGAGAAATTCTAGGGATACAAAAAGGCTATATTGAAAAATAGATATTTATTGAGAATTTGATTTATCTACAAAGATTAGTAGCGTGTGACTTTCTAAAACTACTACAAAGCCAGTAGAGTTTACCATTTCAGAGGACTACACAATCATATTGGCAGTGAAGAGAATTTTGAATAATAGAAAAAGGCATTCTTAGTTTTATAAAAGATTCACATACCATAAAATATATATTACATGCTGAAATATATTTCTAAGGCTTTGTACTTT